TGAGTGTGACTCCTTCTACTGGAAAATGAAGGAGGCCATTCAGAGTCTCAGAGTAGAATTTCTATTTTACTTACTCTCAGAACCACCTTGGCAGACTAATAATGCCTGCTTCCATTGTCCTCCATATTCCCTTCATCTCTCTCAAGTAAGTCAGGGTAAGAAGCTTTGTTCCTTGGTTAGGGCTCATGTCTTTCTTGACTTTGTGAAACTTCCTATCCAAAATACGGAGTGCATAGTAGAGTATAGAGCCTACAGCAGAATCAAAGTAATGCCACTGATTGATAATCTACCCTCCAGCACATTCTGCTCTGCTATCTTTTAAAGGCCACCATCCACTTTAAGTCAAATGCTGCACTAGGTACTTTAATATATCTTTTATTATTTCATTGTAACAACACTGGGACAGGTTTTTTAAATGGAAAAGATTTATGTTTTATTATTATAATTATTAAATTTTGTTCTTCAAAATACACAAGCAGGAGAGTAGAAAAACCACTGGGTAAAGTGTGAAAATTCTCATTTGGAGAAGATTTTTTTGGGGACAGGTATTATTATTATCCCCCATTTTACAGAGAAGGAAGGTGAGACACAGATGTTAAGTGACTTTACCCCCATAACAAATACATAGGTGGCAGAGCCTGGATAGCAACTGAGATCTTTGACTCAAAAGCCTATAATCTTTCAATCTACCATCTGCCTCTCAAGGAAAAAGAAACAAAAGTCTGTATACTGGATACCAAGGGTACTTTTCTCCTCTTTCATTCATCCATCCACACAATATCTAATGTGTGCCGAGGGTGCTTCCACACTACCAGAATCTCCAGAGTATTAAAGAAAGGTCTAAAGAGAAAGGCAGTACTTCTAGCATTGGTATTTCCAAACCTTGGTATTCACAACGTATTGTAAAGTATATTTTTTAATTCTACTACATGTTTTGCTGCTGCTCCTGACACCTCTATGTTACAAGGGAACAGCTGCTAATACAGTTGGCACTGTCATGTATGTTTGGGCAGCTGACCAGAAGAGGGTCAAGGATGGCACAGGTTGTCTCTTCTTTTCAGCATTAGTCAGAAAAGTGCTAATATGGAGGCCTGTAATTGAAGAATATGGCAGGAAATGTGGCTCATGGATGAGAGACACTTAGGAAGTTGGAAGAATTTGAAAGAGTGATTCAAAAAAGGAACTGGGAGGGCTTGACTCGAGCAGGATTCAGCAATCCCTTCATCCCTAAGGATTCACAGAACAACAGTATTCAGTGCACTGAGGAGAGGGGAGCCAGAGCCCTTGGGAAAACATATGGTGCAGGAGAGAAAGGTAAATAAAGGAGGAGAATGCAATGGAGAAAGAAACAATAAAAAATATTGAGTGAAAAGAAAGAGAAAAATAATGATCCTGTGGTAAACACGATGGATGGCCATCAACTTGAAACAAAGACAACCGCACACAAAATTGCCCATTTGTGAACTAGCCCCTTGGGTGTGGTGATTAGTGCAGAAAACTGCCAAATGACTATGTACAAGTCATGTCTCCAATTTTTTACTTTGGCATTTTTTTTTTATTAATCAAAGTAGCAACTCATTCTATGAGGCCAATGTTACCTTCATACCAAAATCCAACAAACACATCACAAGAAAGAAATCTATAGATGAATATTCCTAGTGAATATAGATGCAAAAATCCTCAATAAAATGCTAACAAACCAAACCAAGCAACATACAAAATGGATTATACACCATGGCTAACTATGGTTTATCCCTGAAATGCAAGGTTGGTTTAACATATGAAGAGCAATCAATAAAATGCATGTGATCATCTCAGTAGTTGAAGAAAAAGTATTTGACAAAATCCATCACCCTTTCATGATGAATGCACTTAACATATTAGAAATAGATAAAAGGGAACTTTCTCAACCTAATGAAAGCCACATATAAAAAAAAAACAACAACCATGGTTAGCATCAATACTTAATGGTGAAAAACTGGATGCTTTACTCCTAAGATCAAGGATAAGGTAAGGATGTTTGGCCTCACCAGTTCTATTCAACATTGTTGTGGAGGTTCTAGCCAGGGCAATGAGATAATGAAAAGAAATAAAAGATATCTAGATTGGAAATGAAGAAGTAAAACTCTCTATTCTCAGATGACATGACCTTGTATATAGAAAATCTTTAAGAAATCTACCCAAAAATATCATTAGAATTAATAAAGGAGTTCAGCAAGCTTGCAGGATACAAGGTCAATATAGAAAAATCATTTGTATTTCTATACACTAACAATGAACAATCAAAATATAAAATTAAGAAAACAATTCCATTTATAATATTGTCAAAAACAATACAGGGGCCTAGGTGGCTCAGTCGTTTAAGCATCTGACTCTTGATTTCGGCTCAGGTCATGATCTCATGGGTTGTGGGATCAAGCCCCACATTGGGCTCCATGCTCAGTGGGGAGTCGGCTTGAAGATTCTCTCCCTCTGCCCCTCCTCCACTCTCTCTCTCGTAAATATATAAATCTTAAAAAAACAATACTTAGGAATATATTTCACAAAAGAAGTGTGAGACTTATATACTGAAAACTACAAAATATCATTGAAAGAAACTAAAGACGATCTAACTGAGTGGAATGTCATCTTGTGTTCTTGGATTGGAAAACTTAATATTGTGAAAGTAGCAATACTTTCCAAACTTATGTACAGATTCAACACAATCTCTATCAAAATCCCAGCTGGCTTTCATGCAGAAATTGACAAGTTGAACCTAAAATTTACATGGAAATGCAAGAGATCCAGAATAGCTAAACAATCTTCATGACCTTGGGTTTGGCAATATATTCTTAGATATGACACCAAAGGCACCAGAAACAAAAGCAAAACAGACAAAATTGGATTTCATCAAAATGAAATAAGTTCGTGCTTCAAAGGATATCATCAAGAAAGTAAAATATGACCCACAGAATGGGAAAAAACTACATGCAAATCATATGTCTGAAAAGGGTCTAGTATCCAGAATACATAAAGAATTCTTACAACTCAACAACAATAACAAAAAAGGCAAATAATCCAGTTAAAAATAGATAAAGAATTTGAATAAATATTTCTCCAAGGAAGATATAGGAAGGGTATGTCCGCTAAGTAGATGAAAAGAAGCTCAACATCATCAGTTATCAGAGAAATGCAAATTAAAATCACATTGAGATACCACTTCATACCTCGGGGATGGCTATAATTTTAAAAAATGAAAAATAACTATTGGTAAAGATGTTGGGAAATTGGAACCCTTGCACATTGCTGGTTGAAATGTAAAATGATGCAGTTACTTTGGAAGACAGCCTGGCAGTTCCTCAAAAGGCTTAAACATAGATTCACATTTGACCTAGCAATCCTGCTTCTAGAAATACACCCAAGAGAAATGAAAATATATGTCCATACAAGAATGTGTACACAAATATTCATAGCAGTATTATTCATAATAGCCTAAAAGTGGAAAAACCCAAGTATGCATCAACTGGTGAGTAGATAAACAAAATATGTTATAGCCATAAAATGGAATATTATTCAGCCATGAAAAGCAGAAGTACTGATACATGCTACAAATGGATGAACTTTGAAAACAATATGCTAAGTAAAAGAAGCAGACATAAAAACCACGTATTATTTGGTTCCATTTATGTGAAATTTCTAGAATAGGCAAATCTATATTGACAGTGGTTGCTGGGACCTGGATGCAGAGGGGAATAGGGAGTGACTGCTTATGGGTAAGGGGTTTCTTTTGGAATATTCGGAATTGCATAGTAGTGATGATTGCACAACTTTGTGAATCTACTGAAAACCACTAATTGTACACTTTAAAAGGGCAGCTTTTATGGTATGTGAATTTATATCAATAAAGCTGTTATTTTAAAAAGGAGAATTATATGTCTAACAGCCAAATAGGAGAGATGTGCTAAATCTTCAGTTTTCTCTATCCTGACTGGCTGGACCAGTGGCCTGCTTCCTTTTTCTTCAGAACCTGCCCCCAAATATTTACTCATTCCTTCACCTATGGCAGAAGGTACCAGTCAGCTATGTCCTGAGCCAGTGACACTGGACATTCTAGGGTCCATATTTGTCACATCTTCTATATAGCCCTTCCCTCATGTTATATTTGTATAGTGAACAACTCCTTTCTCTAAAAATGAGTCAAGTGAGACTCAAAAAAACAGTCTGAGGCAACAGAGAGAAAGGGAAGTATTGGGGCATAAGCTATAGGGAACAGGTGGCCTCATTGTTCCAAAATCCTCTCCTACAATTGAGAATACTCAAGGAAACCTAGACATTTCCCCTTCTACTCCCTTCCATCATAGTAAGTTGGGAAAATATTTTGAAGTCTTTCAGTTGGAGACTAATCTATTCCCAGTTCACACTAGTGAACTTAAGCCATTCTCAGTGAGGATTGGCAACCATAGGAGAGTCCAGAGCTACTTCTGTCACCCATTCTAATATTTGACAGCTCTTGCCATTAACATACCAGTAACCATGTAACAATGCCAGTAACAATTCCCCATATTTAATCTAGGTTCCTAATGTGTGGTGTAAACCAAATGACCTCTTGTTACATCCTTGGTAGAGAATGAGAAAAGATACTGTCGATTTATAGTTGGAAAACAGTGCCTCGGAAAGAAATAGTAATAGGAACTAGGAGTTTTTCAGAGAATGACCAATCATCAGTCTCTAAGCATTTGAAATCCCCCTGTAGATAGGGTTTCCCCAAACTGGTCACAGGACTCTGGGTAAAAGCGTGTAAAGGATGTGGAGAGACATAATGTAAAAAGAGGAGTTTAAGTCCTTCGTGAGTTAGCAAGGCCAAATGAATCTGGACAAGCGACCACTTCCCACAAGCCAACATAATGACAGAGACTTAGACAAGCACCACTAGCAAGCAGAGTCCCCTCCAAGAGGTAAAGCACTTCGAAAACTAGATTCCCAAAAAAACCATCACTGCCATCCTGCCCAGGCCACCTTACCTAACCGAAATTGATTGGAGACATTCCCACATGTTTGCATTATCTCCGGGCTATTCCATCCTAAGGGGTATAATGCACAGCCTGAGCTTATCAGCAGCCCTGGAAAGAAAAGCATACACATAGGTAGAAAAAAAAAAAAATAACAGGTCTTCTGTCACCTAAAATTTCTCTCTGGATTAGCTTGGCTCAACTTCTGCCTCTTCTGTTCAGAGTTTACCTTTCCCCTTTAGCCCTAAATGTCTATGACACTACCAACTCAACAGGATTTCTTTGCCATGCCATAGGCAGTGAGCTGAGGTAGATAGTAGAGGTAACAACTTAGAAAGAAAGGGCAGTGTTAGGAATTGAGACAGGCCGGTGTACTTTTTACAGCCCAAATGTTTTTGACAATGACTTACAACACTAAGTTGGCCTCCCCAATCAGACTCCTTTTCTACCTTGGTCTGATTTTCAAAGAATAATAATGTAGAGACTGCTACTCTTTCCTAAAATTCAGCCTTTTCTAAGAGTCAAATAGGTCCCTGTTAGTTGAAGGTAGGTCATGATTTCTCTCACGTGGACTCAGCTGCCAGACTGAGATCTAGAGAAAGCATACACGTTGGATAGGCTTCTCCTGTTGAGGACGGCACCACACTCCCTCTTCCAGATATACTTTCTTATTCTGAGAAATCATTCCAGTTTCATGATAAGAATTTCTCCTTTATTTGGCTTCCAATACCTTCCACTGTGCCCCTTGTCTTCATGTCCATTTTATTTAGGTTATTTGGTCACTACAAAGTAACTGTGGGTCCTTAGTGATAACCTTACTCTTCCAACAAGAGGTACAAATCTGGGTCTGCTTGCTGACACTGCACATAACACAGAACCTCCACAGAGCAGGTGTTTGATCAATGAGGAAGGAACGGCATAGTTAGAGGTTCCAGAGCTCCAGGGCTCAGCTGGACAGTGAAAGGCAGACTACTCCAGGGACTACTGGCCTCACCTACACCTCTCTTTCCCCACTGAGGAAGATTCCAGATACACTCTGAGAAGCTAATAAGCCCACTTTGTCTTAAGATGAATCCTTTTGGAAGAGATCACAAAGTACTCTAAGCTTGTCTGCAACATGGCAACCAGCTTTTCTCAATATTCAGTGAGTCCAGAGAAAAAGAGGAGGGCCTTAAGAAATAGCAAGAAAGGTTTAAATAGGGGTGCCTGGGTGGCTTAGTTGGTTAAGTGTCTGCCTTCAGCTCAGGTCATGATGGTGGGGTCCTGGGATCAAGCCCTGCATCTGAGCAGGGAGCCTGCTTCTCTCTCTCCCTCTGCCCCCTCCCCCGCTTGTGCTCTCTTCCTCTCTCTCTCAAATAAATAAATAAAAATCTTTTTTAAAAAAGAAAGGTTTAAATAGGAAAACAGTGATAACTTTCTGACAGTGAGAGAGGGTTTAGAAACTAAAAGAATGACCAATTAAGGCTAGAAATTCCCTTCAGTGGAATGCTTAAAATTAGAAGGCATTCTTATCTGTCTCATAGTCTTAAAGGAAATGAAACTGGTCACTCAAAGACTTTTCTAGGCTCTGGAATTTACCCAGTGGCAATGGAACAACACTCCTATTTGTTTAGGGGTTCCTCTGTTTTGTTTGTTTGTTTGTACCACAGATAAACTGAAATCCTACGAGATGAGGAAGTATGAGCCAGAATATGGAGCCCAGAGTATGCACAATGGGTTAAGGACAAAATTGGAAATGAAATCCTAGCCTTTTCCTGCTTCTAGTATATATATCCTTTGAGGGAAGAGTTACTAAAAAGTGAGCTTTTCCACACAAACTAAGAAGAAAAGAACATAAGTTCATAAAAGAACAGTGGTTCCGCTTTCAAACCTCCACATTCAGAACCCTGGGACTGGCATGAACTCTGATTTCTCAAGCAGGTATCAGTGCTGGCCAAGTGTGTGTCTCAACATGGCAGGGGGAACCTTCTACTCTCCTCAGCCCCCTCTCGTTCCTCAGACCTTACCATGTTGAGGAGCTCAGGTCAGGAATCACCTCCTCCAGGAAGCCTTTCTCACTATCCCCAAGGTCACACCCCCAGGCTAAGTTCCATATTCCTCCTCTGTGTTCCCACAGCACCCTGTGCTTATTCCTGTGATTAAAATATCCTGTGATAATATATGCTTCACAACAGATTGAGGTCGGCTTCCCTCACTAAAGTGGGTGTTCCTGGAAGGGAGGAACCCCTGGTACCTGGTACATAATAAGTGCCCAATAAAGGCATCTGTTTCAGAGTATACTCTGGGTACTTGACAGACAGCTTCCTTTGCCCATGCTACCCAATGGGGAAGCCTTCTGAAGGAATCTTCATAGCAGGGATGGGAGATCATCCTAGACACCTGATACAGCCATAGAATCTTAGAGAGGGAAAGGCCTCTGGAGATTATCTACTCCAATCCATCCCCATTACAGATGTGGCTATGGAGACTCAGAGAGGGAAAGCTATTTACCTATGGTCACATAGCCAGTTACTGGCAACACTTTTCCCACTAATCAGAGCAATCCTCAACCCCTTAGAAGCTCTGCTCTTCTAGAGACAGGTATCCAGAAATGACCACCTTTTGATAACAATATCTCTAGCAAGTATTAGGAATCTTATAGGCATTAGATCCAGAGAGACAGCACAACACAATGGCTTCAGAGAACAATACTGTATTATATATTTGAAAGTTGATCTTAAATGTTCTCACCACACACACAAGAAAAACCAGAATGATGTGAGGTGGTGGATGTGTTATCTAAACTTATTATGGTTAACATTTCACAATATATATGTGTATCCATTCATGACATTGTACACCTTAAACTTACACAGTGTTATATGTCAATTATATTTTAATAATATGGGAAAAAAGAGAGAAAGTGTTCTGTAGTCAGTCTAGATCTAAGTTCAAATTCCAGCTCTGCCACCTGGAGTCTGTGTGACTTTAGGCAAGTCACTCAATCTCTCTGTGCTTCAGTAACCTTGCCTTTAAAATGAGAATAATCGTACTCCATCCTATAGGGCTGTTTCAAGAAATAATGCTTATAGAGTGCCTAGCATATAGAAAGTATTCAACAAAAAATTATTTTTATTAAACAACAGCCTCTCCCTATGACTCCTCTCTCATTTTCCACCTATATTCTCCATGCTAATTTCTTCCTCACCTCTTTGTTCTTATAAAAAATACAGCTGAAAAGTCAAATTGTTCAACAGGGCTCAATTCAAATCTTCCTGGTTGGAGTTGTTATCTTGCAATTTTTTGTAGGCACCAAGCCAGAGCCTAGAAATCTTGGCCAGGCATGTGTTCTGCCCCAGTGCCTGCGGCCCCACGCTCTACCCAACCAGCCCTCCCGCTCTTCCTATCCCTTATCCTCCCTCCTGCCTTTTAGACAGATGAGCGCAGTAGGTTGTACACATGCTTCATGGAGATGTTTGGCTTGTAACTGACAGCTGATCCCATCACATTTGCTCATAGCTGGAGAAAGATGTGTCCTGGGAGACTTACTTTAAACATGAAGTCACAGGGTAATTTATCCTCAATTATATTTGTTTCCAACAGTGCTCATCAATTTAGGATTTTGAAGACGAGCTTCAAATAGAAATGCAGAAGTCATTTGCCAGTGTCAGGTCTTGCCACCTTCTGGAAGAGTTGGGGCTTATTAATAAATGTAGATTCTTGGGCCTTAGCCAGAGATATCTGATTCGGTAACTGTAGCCTGGGAATATGCATTCCCCCTTCTCTAGTCGCTCTAGCTAACTCCTGGTTTTATTACCCCTCCAACCACATATGTCCCTTGGTTCAGCTGGGTACTTTCTTATTCTCATCTGCCTCTAGAAAGGGGAAAAAAAAAGCTCTTTAGAATATGTTACTATCCTTACTTCCCTACTATACAGTGACCAGTGGGGCTGCCATCTTGTTTCCCTTCCTCAGCTTTTCTTTCCACAAGAATCTCCTAATGCAAAATGTACCAAATGTCCTCCCCAAACATGGTTGCTATGGTTTGAATTCACTTCACTGACCAAGCAGAGGGCTGGGGTTAAACACTTTACTCTGTTTCAGCCCTTGTGGCAGGCAACCTCAACTCCCATACAAACCCTCAGACTCACCTTCTTGGACAGAACTTGGAACCCTCCTTACAGCTACTTCCCAGCTACAGTCAACTTTCCCCTGATGCCAGAATTACTACTTCCCTGTATCCCAACTGTTGTATAGCCTCCTCCTAACTGCACATTCTCCATTAGGCAGATGCCAAATCTTTGTCTCTGGGCAGAGAAAGCCCCCTCCCTGGGTGTTAACCAACCCCCTTTGCTTCCTCCACAGCCATTCACAAGTACAGATATTGAGTGTGCAATCATTTTATTACACACCCAATCCGATCCCCAAATATCTGTCCAAATATGGTTATTAGGTAGTTTGAATTTACTACCTGAGCAGAAGTCTAGTATGGGTTAATTTGTTATTTGCTCATTTATTGCTCTTAGAACAACTTCAACTCAAACACAGTAGAAAATTTATAAGCCTGCCCTCCAGCTATAATCTCGGCTTTCCCTTCTCAGGGAGCTCCCCACTCAACTGTCCCATTCATTTGACCCCATATTCTCTCTCGGAGTTATAAGACAATTTACTTCTGTGAGAAACATTTAAAATAGATCAGGGGAGACTTCCACAGAGGCTGCATTTGACATGAACTTTGAGAAATAGGCAGATGTTTACAGACAGAGATGGAAAAAAGGGGAATTCTAGAAAAAAGCAACACTATGAATGAAACTGAGCAGAGGTTCTCAAATTTTAGCGTGTACTGGAATCATGCTGGAGAATGATAAAAACAAATCAAAGACAGTAGTTACCTTTCCTATAGGAACAAGGGAATATGATCATGATATGAAGGACACTATAACTCTATTGGTAATATTCTATTTCTTAAGCTGAGTGGTGCATACATCTGAACTATTTTATACTATATTTAAAAAAATAAATCAGTCCAAGAGGCTGTGTAAAATATAGAGTGGAGGGCATCAGTTCTGATTCAGTAGGCTTAGAATGGCCCTAACAAGCACCCCAGGTAATTCTTATACAAGTGGTTCATGGGCCGCTCTGAAAAACATTGTGATAGCATTTTATCTTCAAGGGGAAAAGGAAAAATCAATAGCACCAGTGCATAAAGCCCAGGGGTGAGAGTCAGGAGCCTTGACCCATATTCTCTGCTCTGCTCCAATTTGCTACATAAGTGTTAACTTCTTTAAATACTATTTTCCCAAACAGAAAGCCACTTTTATCCTTGTTCAGCATGGTAAGGGTAAATTAAATGATGCCAGTGAAACTCTGAAGGATTTTCCAGGAAATGCATGGTTTCCAGAGAAGATAATGGTTTTTAGAAAAGTAGCTCTCTTTCCTTGATTCAGGTTCTCAGGGATCTGCCTCCAGTGGCAATTTTCATTGAGCTTGAAGCATGTAGCATTAGGACCTTACATGGAAAAAAAAAAAAAACGCTGGTGCCTGTCTGGGTATGTTGAATTATATCTCCTTAAAGGACAAAAAAATATCCAGCGTGACGGTTCTCACTTGAGTTGGGGAAAGGGAACACAGCATACACATCAGAGTCACTGGGGAGATTTTTCAAAACACCAGACTTCCACCTGTTGCTATGTATATCAGAATGGGAAAGAGGATGGGAGAGATGGGGAATCCACATTTTTTAAGTGCTCCAGGTGATCCTGATACATTCCCTGCTCTAGAAAGATTCTTGGCCTCCCTCAAGTAACCCGATCCAAGATCTTACACTTTTTCCTGCCAAGAAGTTCCTTATATTTACTTCTCAACTATTTCTTCTTTGTTTAGCTCTCACTGAAGATAGAGAACAATTCACAAGCATCTTGCATATGTATACACAGGGGAATGTGAATAATGACCTTGTTCTCAGGGACTGGGGGCCAGCTGGTTGGAAACCTCAGGATCCCCAGGGTTGAAATAATCTCCTGGCCAGATGTTTCCTTCACCGGTTGGAGCAGGGCATGAAGGTCCCAGTGGAAGGCTCTCTGGACCCTAGGCTTGTCCAGCTGGATCAGTTGCAGGTGGAGCAAATGGGACCCAAGGGCCCCATCAGGTCACCTTGCTAAGTCTGACTCAGGCCAGCAGCTCTTTATTCCTTCCTGTCTCTCCCACTTCCCACCGTTCATCTCTGTGGGCAGCTGCCAAACTGGGGAACAAGAGTCAAGAGGGGGAGGGGTTGTTCTTAATGGATACTCCATCTCTTCAGTGGTTTGGGGTCTGGCAGAGATAAACCAGACCTAAAACAAATTGGCTCCACCCCCTGATGTATTTCAGTTAATGCACTAGCTGCCGAGAAGCCAGGCCTGGAGCAACAAAATCAATTCCCCTCAGTTGAACAACAAGCTTAAACTTAACCCCCACGTCTCTTTCTCTTGTGTCTTTTATCCATGCTGCTAAACATGCTGTTCAGGTTTGGCTTCCTGACACTGGCAAAGTGTATCTCTAAGAGGTCAGATCCCAGGTCTCTGAAGACCCTTGGGTAATGGTCATGTGCCAAAGGGCTCCTAGAAAATATGATACATCCAAGCAGTCTTCACCATTCTCTCACAGCTGACGTAACCTTGACAGGCACCAGTTCCTAAAAAGGTGGTAGGAATGACCCTTATTTGGCTGGTGTTACAGATGCAGAAGCTGTTGAAATTTAGCAACCTATCCAGTATCTTTCACATATCCAGGGATAAACCTTGTACTACCATGCCTTGGGTCTTGACTCCTTCCATGCCTACTGTCAAATCGTGTTTTATTCTTGAACTTTAAAATCCCTCCTCTAAGTATAAATACTGTGACCATGTTCCTATGAGCATGGGTCAGTGGGGAATCATTCTATATGGGGAATCATATGAGATGAAAAGGGTACTGATGTTTTGACTTCCCCTGTATGACACCCGCCACTCAGCCAAAGTTCTTCCCCACTCAGTCTATGAGGGTCTAAAGCTCCATGATCTACTCACATATCTCAAGATTTTCCTTTGAGTTTCTCGACCTAGGGAGTAGGATCAACTAAAATGTATCACATGGAGAACCACAAGGGTTTCTTAAAGTCTCAGTCAAGCCCAAGCAAGCTGGGAACAGGAGCCACTGTTAATGGTTGGAGTCTGATGGAAGCTGTTGCTACTGGCCTTCTGATTCCTACCCATTAGCCCCTCCTCACTCTCTGCTGGCAACTCTTAGAAATTCATTCCTTTACAGTTACTGAACACCTGCTCTGTGCCAGGCAATGAACTGGGACCTGAGACTATAAATATGGGTTGAAAAGACCACCTCTTTCTTCTGCCAGCTAAGTGTCATTTCCTGAAATAATGTGTCCATAAAAGTGCTGAGCTATCTAGAGCATGCCCAAGAATTCAGGTGAAAAGTGAGCCTGTTTAAGGTTCATTTGTGATATCCATAGAGCCCCCAAAGGGAGACAAAGTCATTGGCTTAGACCAGCCTTAGTAATTGGTTCTGTACCATGGTTCTCAAGGGGGAAGAAAGAAGCTAATCAAATGACTTTCCAATGTGGCCAGGAAACCATTAGTAGCTAAAGAGTGGAAAAATTCAGAGATAAGGGAGGCTAGAATGTTCATTCATATTTAAAACTTTTACACTGAGTCTGAGGAAAGAGGGGACCAGAAACTATCACCTTAACTGGCACAACCAAAAGAATCAGTGCTTTTTAATAAGCAGGTCAGGAAACCATGGTATCTTAGCTCAGGGTTTCTCGACCTTGGCCCTATTGACATTTTGTGCTGGATACTTCTTTGTCATTGGAAGTGGGAAGCTGTCTTGTTCTTGTTCCCTCACCTTTACCCACTGGAGGTCAATAGCATACTTCTCAAGTTGTGATAATCAAAAGTGTCTCAAAGAGATTGCCAAATGTCCAGGGTGGGGTGGGAATCAGCCCCTGTTGAGAACCGCTGTCTTTGTTCACCACTACCACCTCACTCTATGGCCACCTGAATACAGTCATTAGAGAGAAGAAAGAAAATTAGGATCTGCACTATCTTGCCAGTGAACAAATTCAAGGAAGGAAGGGAGATGAGCACCAGGAAAGGTCACTGTCATTTGCCCATGACCACAGGGCAACTCAGGGCAAGAGCCAGAAGTGGGATCCAAGTTTCCTGTCTCTGGTCACCCACACTGTACTGCTAATGGAGATGATAATGATAATGAATTGAGTAATGATTCTAAAACTTCACGAGCAACAACCACCACTTCAGCAATAGGTTCCACCAGCACTTTTTCCCAGTGTGCCATCCAGGTATAAAATATAATTCACATATTCACCCACAGATTTGCCTGTCTGTCTAAACTTGCTTTTTCTTCTCATAAAGTTCCAATTAAACTGCCCCCGTTGCCTTCCTGCAGTCTGCCATTTTTGCATTTGGCCCTTTCCTGGCCCATCTACGCATCGCCAGCCTCCCAGGTGTTCTGCACTAAATTTAGAGGGAGACTGAATGAGGGAAAAATAAGTAGGGTGGGTCAGGGCCCTAAGAAATTGGGATAGACTGCTAAGGGCTACCAGACAGGACTAGCCTTAGATAAAGGCCAAATAAGCAGTCACCTACAGTCTGTCTGGTACCTAGCATTTCACTTTTAGAGGTGTATTTCTTTGGTGAGGATTGTACATCAAACTTGTTAGTGATGAGGACTTGTGCCTATATGTTTATCAGATCACTGTCCTCTGAGATAACTACCAGAGATCAAGGCTCTTAGAGATCAAGTGTATTTAGAGTATACGTTGCTGTCCCTAGAAAGTGGACCTGGATAATATCATTAAATGAGCACTGTTCAGGCAGAAGAAGGTGATGAAAATGGAGGGCTAACAAACCGGATATCAACTTTGCCGCTAGCCAATTTTGCTGCAAATAAAGCCCTGGTATAGACGGCACTTTGGGAAGACCTAGGCTGGGTGTTTCAAAGGAGTCTCCATTCGTAGCCTTTGGGTTGGATAAAGGGAAGGGGCTGAGAGTGGATTTCTCCATGAAGAAACACTTTCCGCCCCCACCCCCACCACCAAGCTCCAAGACCTACCCAACCCCAGCAACAGTCTTACCTCCCACGAACTGTGCTGCTCCCATGCAACGTCCTGTCATTCTGGAGATGAGCTCCTCCATGCAGCAGCCCAGGACAGCAGCTAGTGCCACAAGGAGCAGCAGAGCACAGCCGGCACCTGTCACCACCGTGCACATCTGCCAGGCCAGGCTTGGAATGGCACTGAAGCTGGCATAGCGCCCGCACTCTTCCACCATGATCAGACTGTGCCCCTCTCCCCGCACAGGGTAGTTGCACCTCCGGAATGTGCTGAATGACACAGGCTTCCCCAGCTGGGATCCAAAGAGCCAGTAAGGCAGGAAGTAACTGGTAGAACTGGCCACAGCAGTAACAAGAGACAGGAAGGCCCAGAGGGTCCCCACCAGTGTCAGGCTGCTCCTCATGGTCCCAGGTTTCTCTGCAGGAATGGGGAGATGAGTTGGGTCATAGCACCAAATGCAGAAAGTTAGCATGTAAGCTCCATTGGCCTGTTTTTCATCTGGCTGGCCAGTCCTAGGGCTCGTTTATGGACAACTTGGCCCTTGCCTTTAGATAAGATTATTCTATTGAGGCCCATTTAGGTCCTTCTGGGATTCTGCTTTCCAGCACTTTTCCCATCTTCCCTTCCTCCCACCTGATTCAGAGTTCTAGGGTCTCTAGGCTGCAATGGAAGAACCACAGAACTGAATTAGTGACTGTTCTGCCAACTCAAATGCAGCCTAATCAGACAGCTTTCAACTCTTGACATCTAGCATGAAACAAGTGGCTGGAGCTGAAGCCGGAATGAAACCAAGGCGACCCAGAGAATCCTCAGCTTCCAGTGGAATGGCCTTGCTGGCCTGGGGGCCTGGAAGGAGATGATATCTCAAGAGGTTCAGAAACCAAGTCATTTTCAGAGAATGAAGAAAGAGGAAGGAAGAAGGAAGACAACTCATGGGGCTGCCCCTTCTACAAGGGAGAAGAGGGAAGGAGAGCTCACTATGGAGTTACAGGATGTGCCCATGTGACCTATGTAGGATGTCCAATAGTGCCTCAGTATGAGCTGTTTACAGGGTTGAAATGTGTAGAATAAAACAAGGGGTGCCTGACTTATACCCCTTGCTTGTCACTGAGTGAGCACTGTTTAGTCACTTTTTCCCGAAAACAATATGGGAGGCAACTTTCCAACCAGTGAAGGTTGTTTAACTCTAGACAGGCTACTGAGAAAACCTGCCTCATCCTTTGCTCAATATAGTCAGAAAAGATTCTCCTCTCTCTGAAATGGATCAGGTACCCCCTGCCTGGCAGTAGGAACATGCATATATAGCTGTAAGGACCTTTCAAGGTGCCTTCTGTAACAAATAATCTCAGATTCAAGACCCTGAGAGTTTTTTTCAGATCTAATCTCAGCCCAGCTCACAAATGGCTTTCACAGACCCCTCTGTCAAAAATCAACCGCTTCCCTCCCAACTCCATTAATCTGCCATTGCTTTCTGGCCTCAATTAGGGCAGAGACCACACTGCAGCTTGATGACCGCACTGTGAATGTCTCCAGCAGGCAGATGGTGGAGTATATTTCAGAAACTTCTCCATGATTCATCACCATTCCTTAAAGCTACATGTGGTGGGAGAGGAGAGGGGTCCAGCAATGGGGGACCGAAAGTAAGGGGAGTACAGGCACTGGCTATATGGGGGTACCATACCGCCAATTTGGGACATTGTCAGGAACAAGCAGCAGTTGTACTCAGGGTCTCGGGGAGGAGGCCCAGCTGTGGGTCTTTTCACAAGCACCATTAATCAGTGCCTGGCACAGAGTAGACCCTCCAACTCATGTTTGTCTAATGAAACCCATTTCATAGAAGCAGCCAATTTCCAGGCTGGCAGGGACCTTAATGAATCACCTAATTCAACCTTTTTGTTTTACATATGGGGGAGCATGGTGCGGTAATGGGGGGGAATCTTTTCCCCCAAGTCACAGAATAAGTTAGCAAGCAGCAACACCGGAATAAGAAAGCCGATCTGCAGATTCCTGGGCCAGTACTTTTCTACCACATAGTACTAACACCCCTCCCCCCATCACTTTGCAGACTGGAATCCGAAGAGGAAGTGATTTTACCCAAGGGTAAAGGGCTAGTGAGGTACACTGGCCAGACCAGAGCCCAGTTATTTGATTCTTAGCATAATGCTGTTTTCAGTCTACCACAATTCCCCTCCTGAAACATATGTATTGTGTGCTATGTGTTTTGTGCAGGAAGGGAGAAGAGATCATAAATTGCAGGTGCTTACTTTGGAATGCTAGGGCTTGGGAAGAAAGTGCCCTTAGCTGGGCCCCTGGGAATGAGGATTTATGCCTGAGGGGGGAGGGGTGAGACGAAGATGTGATGAGGGATGGAAAGCCAACGGGAGGAGAAGTGGAACTAGTTTTAAGTAATTGCTGTTAAGAAACAGGTACGCTTGGCTGCAATGAGGTAATGCCTCTGCTTGTGATATTAGAGTTTGTAAGATTATGAAAAGTGCAAAGCAGCTCTCTGTTATGGTCTCACTTCCTGGTGAAGAAGCCCAGGCAGGAGGATGAGAGGAAACCAGCTGACAAACGCTTAGGGCTGCATCATCATATTCCCTTCCAAAGCCATTATGTCATGACCTCTGCCCAACAACCTTCTCTGTTTGGTAAGAAAGGTGTCACCTCCAATTTACAAATGAGCACAGTGAGGGTCAGAAAGCTAAGTGACTCGTCCAAGGTTGCACAGTAATTTATTGGCACAGCCATGACTTCTCACTTCTCATTCACCCACCACCTTCCCCGCCACCATGTTCTCTGTTATCACCCCAGTAGTATTACAGTGAAAAGCCTCCATGGTTTCCCAGCCAGGATTTCAAAAAATGTTTAAGAATGGGGAAAGACTTAGAGAGGCAGACTGGGAAGGTAAGAGGAAAGCCGCTTTCTCTAAGCAGCGTGTAAACCAGCGGAACAAGAGCATTAGCTGTCTCAAGCTCAGCAGCTCTAGTCAGAACCAATCCCATAAGGGGCGCCTGGGTGGCTCAGTTGTTGGGCATCTGCCTTCGGCTCAGGTCATGATTCCGGGGTCCTGGGATCGAGCCCCGCATCGGGCTCACTGCTCCGCAGGAAGCCTGCTTCTCCCTCTCCCACTCCCCCTGCTTGTGTCCCCTCTCTTGCTGTGTCTCTCTCTGTCAAATAAACAAATATAATCTTTAAAAAAAGAAAAGAACCAACCCCATATGTTGCCCATAAACATCATCGCGTTGAGATCAAAATTCCCGGTATGACAACCAGGGGAAGGGCAGAGAATTTAAGGCAGAGAAAGAAACTGTATCAGTGAGTGGTACCTAGATTATACTAGAAATAAGAGGTGAGATTCTGACATAAGATTATCATCATCTGGGGGGGTGCCTGGGTGGCTCATTCAGTTGAGTATCAGACTCTTGATTTTGGCTCAGGTCATGATCTCAGGGTGGTGAGATCAAGCCCCATACCCAGCTCCATGCTCAGTGCACAGTCTGCTGGAGATTCTCTCTCTCTCTCCACCCCCCGCCCCTCCCCCACTCACGTGTGTACATGTGTGCGTGCGCACTCTCTCTCTCTCTCTGTCAAAATAAAATGAGAGAAAGAGAGAGTGCGCAAGCATGGCAGGGGGCGCGTGAGTGGCAGAGGAAGAGGGAGAGAGAATCTCAAGCAGACTCCATGCTGAGCGTGGAGCTGGATGCAGGGCTCAATCTCTCAACCCCAAGATCATGACCTCAGCTGAAACCAAGAGTCGGATGCTTAACTGACTGAGCCACTGAGGTGCCCCAGTAAACAAAATCTTTTATTTATTTTTTTAAATTGTTAAAAAAAAAGATTATCATCATCTTTGACAAATCAGGCTGTTTAAAAAACTACAATACTACCAACCACTGTCACCATAATTTTATTTTTAAAATGGAATTTTGAAGCCAAGGCAGAATCACAAAATCCAGTTTAAATTACATATGCTTAGCTTTAGAGAAACTCATTGGCTTTCAGAATTTAAATACTTTTAACTTCAGGAAAAACTCATTGTCCTTATTTCTCTGAGGACTAGGACGACCAATCAGGCTAGTTCTCTGGGACTGAGGGATTTCCTGGATTGTGGGACTTACAGTGACAAAACTAGGAAAGTTAGTCACCCTCTTCAGGACTAGAGGTGTGGTGAGCCAGCACTGTCTGTGGACAGCAAGCTGAAAATCACTGCCACAGATAATTCTCTAATGTTCTCTCTCCAGGACTCAAACAATGTGAAGTTAAAAGTGAGTATGGCATTAAACAATGGAGAGATGAAGCCTATGTATTTTGAATGTAAACCTTTCTGAATCATAGATGTGACCTCATGCAGTCAAGGAAGAGAGCTCAGAGATCCAATTGCTCAATGTTTTCTGAGCATAGAATAAACCCCAACCCAGCTTCACCTGTGGCTGGACAGGGAGGCATTGGCTTTGGTGTCTACGTAGGCACATTGCTACGTGTTCACATGTGCCAGACGGGGAAGTGCATTCAGGCAAATGCTTTTAGTTCCTGTATGGCCTGCAGTGGATGTCCCTCCATGACAGTCCTCCAAAGCAATCCAAGTTCATTTCCAGGAACTTGTCAAGTCTCTTTGCACTCACATAAATAAAAATCATGCACAGTGCTATACTTCCTTCTATCTTTGTTCTTCCTGTATATGTCATGTATACAATGGCTCTGTTTCCCTGACCTGGAATTCCAGCCTGGATTTCAGCTACACTGGATTTCAGAAACCAAGAACTCAACCCCGGCATACCTGCTAATTTGTCCAATAACAAGACATTGATAAGATTCTTACTGACACTCTCTCTTTAGTTGTCACATGGTCCCTCATCCCTTAGTTTCTCCATCTCCTAAATGGGTCACGTGCCTGTTTCTGAGAGTGGTTGTGTAAGATGCAGTGAGTGTGGCCAGAAAGTTGTGACAACCAGGGTGGAAGCACAAAGTGTGTTCTGCATTTACTGTCCTTACTAAAGGCTAATGCTCACTAATCTTTAAGAGATATGGTCATGATTCTAATGCAGACTCATGGGTAGGAATCACTTCAACCTTTTGAGGCAGGAAACCCACCTAAGCCGTACACATCAAATGGTTATCTAGATTACTTTTAAAGAACTCTAGAGAAGGGGACTCTCTGATTTTTCTCAGTAGCTTAACAACTCTCACTGTCAATAAATCATTCATTATGTCTCATTTGAAACCTTTTCTGCTGTAACATAAGGCCGATTTCTTTGGTCGCATCCTCAGAGGGAAAGGAGAAGAGCTTGGCTGGTCTTCCAGAGGAGAGCCCTTAATCAACTCAGATTGCTGGGAGCTTAGCTTTAGCCCCCTTCCCCCCAAAATGAGTACTCTACCTCTCTCTGTGGTGTCTCATTGCCAAGTCTTTAATTATTTGTTCTCACCTTTTCACTCTCCTGTGTACATACTCATACATAAGCACTTAGTATCGATGAAACTGGAAAAACTGCTCTTATTTTTTTCTGGGTGGGAGGAAAAGAAACCAAATCCTTCCTTTACCTCACTTTCTCCCCAGTCCTCACAGACGAAGACTCAAATACTTTTGTCCCCACTTGAGCTTGTCATACAACTTTGTAGTTAAGGAAAGCACTACCTTACCAAAAGTAACAGGGTCCAGGCAAAGCAGCCAGTGAGTTAATGACCAGATCATGAAGTGGTCAGAAAGGGTGTCTCTGACTTACAGCTGCTAAGGAAAACATGGCTGCAAGACTACTGGTTTCAGACTGGTCTGTGAGGAGCAGCTTTGTTGGCACTGGTGTTGGCAAAGGAATGTGAACAGGCCTTTCTCCTCATGGCCCCCAGATGGTGTGCGTTGCCTACCTGCCAACCCTGTTACAAATACATCATACTCAGTGTTGAAACTTTTGTAGGAAATGAGAGAGATGTACAGGCATATGTTTCCAGTGGTAAATAGAGCAACGCTCCAGAGAAATGTCTTTGCCCAATGTGATTCCTTGTATCAAGTTGGGTATATAAGCAGCCTGAACATTCTAGATCTTTCTACTTCAGACACAGCCCCAAGCATTTCTCTCCTCATTTTCTGCCACCTGAGTCCTTCAGGAGTTATTCCTCCTCTGTATATCTCTGCAATGGGAGTTACTCCGAGTTCTCCTATGCCTGAAATCATCACAGGATGTGATTACTCCAAGGGCTTTATTTCCCATTTGTGTAATTGATATACAAAAAATGTGCACATTTAGTGCATACATCTCAGTGAGTTTGGACATATGCTTATATTTGTACCACCATCACCACAATCAAGGTACTAAAACATATTCATAAACTTCAAAAAGTTCCTTGTATTGGGTTTGTGTGTGTATGCGTGTGTGTGTTAAGAATATAATGTGAGATTTATCCTCTTAATTTATTTTAAAGTGCACAACACTGTACTGTTAACTTTAGGCACAAAGTTATATGGAAGATCTCTAGAATTTACTCATCTAGCATCTGAAACTTTATACACATTGAGCAACAAGTCCCTATACCCCCCTCCCCACCAGGCCCTGGCACCACTATTCTACTCTGCTTAATATCTCACTTTTGACCTAAGCCTTGTCTTTCAAATTCTTCAGCTGCCATACTTGCTGATCCTCTTTCTAAGCCTTCTCTCTTCTTCCCTCCTCTTTTATTCTGGAATAGAAAGATTAGCAAAATTAGTTGTGTTGGCTTTACTTATTTATTTGCATCTGAGATGTTCACAGGCAGGTAAGACAGTTGGAGGCTGGAAGTTAGAGAGTACGTGGAGACGGATAACCAACTGAGTCACTGACAACCATTTCTAAATAATCAACTTGGCCATGCAGAGATACCGAGAGCCCTTACAAAGAAACTCCATGTCAGGTCCTGGTCACTTTCTCCAGAGTTTGAGGTTGGAAAGGTGGGAACTGGAAAATGATTTCCCTAAATTTCATATGAACTTCTCCCTTCCCTGCAAAAAAATGGTGCTCACTGAGCTCCCCATTTGTCTTCTGCTTTGAAAACTGAGGTGCCAGTTAGAGCTCTTCATCGCAGTTCTTATTCTGGCTGGACAGATGCCACCACCTTCAGTGATCAGTTGGTCAGCTAGGAGTCCCAATCACCAGTTGGAAACCATTCCTACCAGCCTGCTCTGGCAAGACACTGTTAAGCCCTATCAACAGTGGGCTAACTGGTACTGCATCTCCCCACACCCTTAAGTTCATGGTGCCAGCCCTGCTACTGTTGCCCAGTAGACCCACCACCTGTGGCCTCAAAAGGGAATAGAATACCACCACAGCTGATCACCTCCATTCAGTGAACCTGGCCAGTATAGGAAGAAGGTGGGCTGGGTGCTTCACCAACAACTTCGGCAGACATGAGAGGCAGTGTGGCATATTAAGAGCATTTCTCAAAATGGTGGCCCCAACCTGTCTGCATTAGAATCACCCTCAGTGCTTGTTTGAAATGCAGACTGAAGAAGTCCCTATACCCCCCTCCCCACCAGTCCCTGGCACCACTATTCTACTCTGCTTAATATCTCACTTTTGACCTAAGCCTTGTCTTTCAAATTTTTGAAAGACTGAGAAGACTCCTTCTCAGAGCCACTGAATTACAATTTATGAGATTTGCGTTTTTAAAAAATTCTCGATTGATTCTGTTGGAAACTAATGATTGAGAAATACCATTTCAGTGGAAAAGGGTCCAGATTTTGGAATCAGATCTGAGATAGGGTCCTGAAGTCTTCCCGTTACAGGTTATATGAACTTGAGAGGATCACTTAAAACCTCACAGTTTCAGTTTTATCTATAAAATGAAGATGATTAGGGGCGCCTGGGTGGCTCAGTTGGTTAAGCGACTCCCTTCGGCTCAGGTCATGACCTCAGGACTCTGGGATCGAGCCCCACGTCGACTCCCTGCTCAGCGGGAAGACTGCTTCTCCCTCTCCCTCTGCCTGCCGCTGCCCCTGCTTGTGTTCTCTCTCTCTCTGTCATATAAATAAAATCTTTAAAAAAAATGAAGATGATTCAACATAGTTCAAGTGAAATGATATCTGTGGTAAACCTAACACCAGGATAGGTGCCCATTATTCTCCCCTCTACTGGAAAAGATAACGTTCCACCATAAGTAAGAGAGAAGACTTGAAGCCTCTCAAGAAGTAGAACACCCCTCCTCTCCCCTCTCTCTCTCCTCCAGCCACTCTTCCAGTGACGTCTTATCTCTCGGCTTCTTTCTGTGTTCAGTTTCTCACCACAAAATGGAACCACTGGGCCCCATGTTCTTTTCGAGAATGGATTTATAGTCAAACTATTTCAGGTTTTTCTGTAAATCATCATGTTTGGCACATAGTAGGAACTCATAAATATTTACAGAGTGAATACAATCTTTTGTTTCCAGCCCGACTGAATGACTTCAACATCTGCATTTCAGTTTAACCCCATCACCTTAGTTCGGTCCCGTAGTCCCAATTTAGGCAATTCTAAGAGATCAACCCAGCACACTGGCAAACTGGATCCACTCTTCCTTCTATAGACAGGTCCAAGCAAAAGCCCTCCCTCCACTCCCAGAGACATGCACTTCCTCTCCTCAAGTTACCAACTCTCCTAGGAAAACCAGCTAACCATTAACCCTTAGGTCCTCAAGCCCTGTCAATATGAAATAGGAATCCAGCCCGGATTCCTCTTACCCTCTGTGCAAACAACAGGCTATGAGGAAGTAAAAGTGCACCAGGCCCTCTTTGGGAAGAAAACAGCTTCTCTGAGCTGTGAGATGAAAGTACAGGAAGCCTGAGAAAGGAAAGGGAGAAGAGGGGCTGAGCACGGGGAGAGCAAAAGCAGTTTCTTATCCAGCTGTTTCCAGTGCATTTGGCCCAAGTTGCAAATTTACCTTCTGACCACGAAAGCTGATTGACTTGTTCCCTCTCTTCAGACTCAGATCTGAGAAACAACTTCTCCTCACAGCTTGTCAGAAGGGGATGGGAATCCCAGCTGCTCTTTGCAGTGATGCCTGAAAACCTTGCTTTACCTTTGGGAGAGAGGGGCGGAGTCCAACCTAATGGGAATTAACTCCAAACACGCTGGAGGCTTCAAATCCAGCCTCAGACATGCAGGCACTTGAAGTAGCTTAGCTGGCACAGAGTTCCCCACCTCCATCCTCACAGCTGCCAAGTCAGCTGTGTGTGTGTGTGTGTGTGTGTGTGTGTGCGCGCGCGCGCGCGCATGTGCGTCGCTGCAACTGCGTATCTGTCTCAATTCCTCATCTGCTGCTCACATGTCTGCCAAGGAATAGAGGTTTTCCCTAACTTTCCTTAAAAGCCCTAAATAATCTCCACCACATATATTAGGTAGCAGACCTAAGTGGCTGGAAACGACAGAAAACACATGCCTGAATGAAGTAAGACAGAATAACCTTTTTCCCCCAAACTGATTTCCATTGTCTGATGCTCCAACAGCGTAATCTATGGCTCCAAGACGTAATGACTACATTTAAGAAACTTGAAATCACACATTGAAAAAGCTTAAAAATGCCTCTTTAAAAATAACAGTACTACCAAAAGCCAGTGTCTAACTTATCCCAAAGCACCAAAAACTGCTTTTGTGCTTGGGAAGATAACTGAGAAGTCTGGAGATTAATGGAGTTCTGCCTGATGCTTTGCTCCAACCTGATGTCATCTCTCCCACCTGTGAATGTCCCTGGCACTCCATACTTATTTCGGGAAACTTATCACCTTCTACCTTGTGTTAGTTTTTCGCATATGTGTCTCATTTCCCCTCCCAGATGCCTTGTGAATAGGGAGCTTTGCTAAACAAAATGAGTTAGAAGGAGGAATGGTAACCAGCTTAACTTAATAGAGCATACTAGACTGGTCCAAAGTATCTTTACTTC